CTAAAGGATTAGTTTTGCATGGATCATTCTAAATATAATATAGATGTATAATAATAATAACAGTAACTTTGTAAGTAAAAATAATGGAAGAGATAATGGATATTTTGTGTAATTAATCATAGTTTTAACGTTATTTGAATATAAAAATATTTTCTCTTTTATATATTCTCATTCTGAGATTCATCTTTAAGTCATTGAGATAAAAACCAAGCTTCTTAGGCAGCTGGGTTAAAAAACTTTTTTAAAAATAATTTGGAATTCTTCTAAGAATAATGATCAATTTAAGATAAAATTTTATTTACCAAAGCAAAGGTTTCACTTTCCCAATATTAAGTTTCAAGATAGTATAATGTGTAATTTCTAAACTCCAATTTCAGCCACTGTTAAAAATCAATAAAAAACTAATATATTCAAAAATATTCTTCGAGCAGGGAAGTGGCTCATGCCTATAATACCAGTAATCCCAGCACTTTGGGAGGCCAAGGAGAAGGGATCATTTGAAGCCAGGATATGGAGACCAACCTGGGCAGCAAAACAAGACCTCATCTCTACAAAAAAATAAAAATTAAACATTAAAAAAATGTATATATATATGTATATGTATTATATCATAACATAATTTATACATATTATATCATGATACATTAATTTATATTTTATATAATTCATATATATATGTGTGTGTATATATATAAATTTTTCCCAATGACCTGTGTTTTAATCCAGATATACCCTCTTGGTTATGTGGCTCTTTGGAAATGACAGATAATCAATTAAAAATGTAACCAGAGTGGTATGATTATCTGGGAAGAGTCTGATTGGAATATCTACACATCACCCATTAGTTTGAAGTCTTGAATACAGCAAAATTCACAGTAAAACCAACAGTTATAGAGTAGACATTTTCATTGTTACTAAAGGTAGTAAAAAGGAAAGAGGTCAGGCAAAATTACAGTAACCATGGGAAAAACACAAAGAATCCAGAAGTGAACCCATCAACAAACATAAACTTCTCTGGCAGACGAACAAACCTGGAAGAAGGAAGACAATAGGACTCACTGGAGAAATAAATCCAGGAGCCTGGATGCTGTCTAAGAAAACAATCATAAAAGACACATCAAAATAGCATAAACCGAGGGCTGGTGTTTTAGGAGTCCAAAATACTGCTTAGCTGAGGAAAATGGCGAAGAGGAAAATTCCACATTATTTCATCACTTCATTTATTCTTGATTGTTGTTTGTCATTTTCTTAGTACTTTAAATCAAAGTGTTAAGTCTAGTCTATTGCAATCCCAATGGGTGATAGAGCTGAACCATAATCTTTTCTCTGTATTTCTCTAAAATGTAACAAGATTTAAAAATTTATTTTTACCTTGCCTTAAAAACTCTGCAGTGATAGTAATTTCCAAAAGCGAAAAAAATAGCAAATGATACCACATTTTCTCACTTATTTCTACATTTGTGCTAGAATCTATAGCTGGAGAAATATTTGTCTTTGTTTCTTTGTTTTTGAATGATTTGTATGAGACTTTTTTCATAAATAGCCAATCTAGAAATTTTTAATAGAATTACATTTTGAAGTGGCTAATTTCAAATTTTTATTTCACCTTGATTTAAAGGAAAAATGTTATCTCCCTAAAGACCAAATGCTTTTGTATGCCAAGAAATGTGTGTGCATTAGATGCTGGTTGGCTCTCCCAAAGCTAATTTTCCAGAAGTAAGAGAAGTGATTCAGCCTATTAATGTCTCCACATTGTTGCCATGCACACATGGAAGACAGTCTGAAGCAGGCTCAGACTGCTTGGCTGTGAAATTCATCAGGAGGAAGTCCTCTGGCTCTTCATGATGTCTCACATCTCCAAGTCCAATCACATTCACTAGGAGCTATATGGAAATTTATTTGAGAAAATACAAGAAGATCTTAATTTGACCTCCATTGCTGACCTTGTGAGCAAGCGGAAAGCAGGCCTTGTGTGTTCCCATTAAAATATCCAGTAACTTAGCCCTTGACTAAGTCCCTTTGTTTACTTGCCAACCAGCATGAAAATTAGCACACTCTCTACTTTAGAAAATCTTCAGGAATATTTAATTGTCTAAAATTAACTTTTGCTTATAAACCCATTTGATAAAATAAACCAAATGTGCATACATCAGCAACTATTTAATTGGTATTTCCTCATGGAAAAAGGAATCACTATGTCAATTGCCCGTGTTGAAAATGTCAATGGAGTCATTTCTTTGGAAGCCACATGGTGCCATATTTAACAAATTAGGAAGGCAGTAGATGAAAAAGCAATGAAAGTAGTAAACTATGGAATAAAGATACTATTTTCATTACAATCTAAGTAATAATTAAAATAAAACCAACCAAAAGAAATGCAGAACAAACTGTTAACATAAATATAAAACTCTATCTTGTAGAGAAAATAATTTTATAGTAAAGATTTTGTGATACTACTTTTCCAACAACTGTACTATTTTTTTCAAGAATTTGATTTATATAATAGGTAAGAAAATGAATAAATCTCTTTCTGAAAAGGGATTCATTTCCAGTTATTTCAGTTTTTCTTTTAAATTACAAGTGAATCTTTAAATTTCAAGGTTATGAAGAAATCAGTTTCCTTCAAATAAAAAAATATATCAATCAACTATAACTCTGAAATAGCAAGTTTATTGCCAATAAAAATAAGGAAAACACAAAGGTATACAACATAGAAAGGAGTATGAAAAGACAAGAAATTCTGATAAGGCTATCTGAGAAATTCCAATCCTCATATGACTAGTACTTTGAATACTCACACACATCAGATTATTGCAGTAGCTACTGACAGCAATAAATATCTTCAAATGAAAACATATGAAATAATACTTGATATTGTTTTGTAAGTGACACTACTTTTGTTAAATACATTGCTTTTTTTGCCACATTTAAGTAGGGTTAATTTTTAAGTGGCTAGTTTTTTGTTGCTTTTATTTTTTAACTTCTTTTTTGTGAATTTTATAAGTCAAACTCTTTTTCAGGCCAACAAAAGCAATCTAATCTCATTAAAAATATCATTCCTCCTGTTCCTTCCTTTTATTATTCTTGTCCTATTGGAATTTAGAAAAATTGATCCAAATACTACAAACATTGTTGTCAATTTCTTATATTTATTTCCTTGCTATGTCTCTAGAGTTTTCTAATGTCAAATATAAGGTTTAATCAGTCTGTATTGCTTACATGATAGAGTTTAAAACTGTTGATTGGAAAGTATTTTAAATCTTATGTAAATGGCATTATGTAGGATGACTTCTTTTTAAAATCATATTTAGTACTTGGTTATACTTTATCTAAACACTTCTGGTTTCAGATTATCTTTTGAATGCAGCTAACCTATCATTAAGTTTTTTGTTATGTTAGTCCAAAATCCGATGTTTTGTAATTTCAAAATTAGTATAATTCTTCCTTGCATCTTTCCTTAGTAATTTCAAATTCTCTTTTTCTGGTAATTTGTGACCTCCTTTCTTCAGTATATAAACATTCTTGACTTCTTAAAACAAAACAAAAGAAAGAAGCGAATAACATTTCCCTTAATTCTGCATCTCTCTCTTTTTACAGGCAAATTTCTTAAAGGTCCACCCATCACTTCCATTTTTACACAGCACCATAACATTCATGAATATCTCACTTTGCATTTTCTCACAAGGACCCGATACAAGCAGTGAGGCTGCTCATTCATTGTCTCTCTCCTTTTTCTCAAAATGTGTAGTCATTAATACTTTTTCTCAGGATTTTTATCATTAACCTTTTCCATATTGTTCCTAAATCAAAATTTGTCATTCCAAATCCTTTTAAAAAATGCCAGAAGGCATTGCAATACTCAGAAGATTAAAAATGATGGTATAATAACCAGAATCCACATTATCAAAAAGATTTGTGATTCAATGTTTTCTTACTAAGGTTACAAATGAAAGAGTATAATGTAGGTTTTTATCATGGGATTTTTTTTAAAGATATAATGTATATTGAAATATTTGAATTGCTTGCCAAATGCAAACTTGATCTTGTTCTGACACTTTTAAAATATAACATTGCTTCAAACATTTTAAGAAATTAAAAATTAAATGCCATAAACTTGTTTTTTTCTCCTCCTTTATTTTTGTTTCTACTATGTTTTTTTTTTCTTCTTTTCTGAATTTCATATTGATTTTATTCATTTACTAGGTTTTGGAGGAGCAGCTTTTGTCAATTGGCTTTAAATCTACCACTTTTCCCCCAAATGCCTAATTTTCATAACGTTACTTAATGAAACATTTGAATATATTATTAATGCTCACTAGTGGAAAGAAATGGAATTAGAAATTGCTAACTTGAAATCAGTAATTCCCTGCTAAACAAACAATTAGGTACTTGAGATATTGAAGAGAGTTTTGAATAATAAATTTGCTGGTTTTTCTCTGTTAAGTATATTGTACTTTTGATAATCAACTTTTTATGTTAAGAAAATGTCCAGAAACAGAAACATTTGATTGGAGAAACTAATTACAATGTTATTCTGGTCCTTGATAGAATTTACCTTCCATGAAAATGGAGGTAGATTTCACATCCCCGTCTTTCACTTTTCACATTTCACAACTGAAAGCAGACAATTCATATATTTAATGTAATTATTTCCTTGTAGGCTTCTTTCTGTAACAGCTTGGAAATGACTACTTATTTGTATTTTGAGTTATCCAACATATGATGCTGTCAAGATGTGAGTTAAATGATTTAGTTACTGGAAGTGTGTGTATATGTTTGAGGTAGCAGTGGGGAGGGGATAAGGTTTGTCTAGTATTGCACTTGTTTGATGAAACAGACAACCAGAAATAACCATTTTTTTAATCCACAGCTTGTAGTGAGCTTAAATTATGTAAAATGGTATGACATATTGTAACAAGTTATAAATGCAATATATTATACTTGTAATTGTTTAGCATTATTTGATTAGGAATTGTATAGCTCTTATGAACAGTGTCAGGTTCCATTTAAGGGTGCAATATAAATATAATTTAAAAAGTAACTGTATTTGATGGTTTGTGTATGTGTGTGTGTGTGCGTGTGTGTGTGTGTGTGTGTGAAAATGCCCTTTTATGATATTTTGAATTGTCTTTGTCAATTTACTTTAACGTTCCTTCAGAAGGTCCTGTCAAATTCTTCCTAAGATTTAATTCTCAGAAACCCAAAGTGGTATTATTTAGTCTCTAGGATATACAGAAGTTTGGCTGTGGGAACAATTTTAGGCTTTATCCTGGGTTTGCAGTCAGAATTTCTTGCTAAAATTCTCTGCTTCCCCTCTATTAACCTCTTTCAATAATAAGCAAATACATAGTAAAGCTTTAATAATTTTTATTGGCTTTCATCTTGTGTTCTATAATTGATAGCCTTTAAAATGTTTCAATCAATATTGAAATTTCTTTGAAATGTTAGCCATTAGTTGTTATTACTGAGAAAATTCACTGGAGCCCTTCCACTTGTACTCCTGACTTAAAGGTAGGTAAAGAGACGGAGTTGGCTGAGTACTGTCATGGAAGGAGATGCAACTCATTAAAATAAAACAACATTAGGGACAAAGAATAGCTTGGAGTGAAAAAAAGATGGATTTACTGGGTTATACAATCATAATACTTTCTCTTGAATAATAAGCATCTTATCATGGGTTTTATACAAAGGTTAACACATAGAAATTTGCATGTTACATTTTTTAAATAGCCTCATATTTACAAAGAATGTGTCAATGTATTTTTAAATAATTGAGATAACAGGATATCGTATGCTTTTTGGTGTGCATTTTGTTATTTTTCTTCATCTCATTGAGGAAGTTCTCCATTTGTCTTCTCTTTCTACAAAAGGATATTTTTCATTATCAGATAAGTATCAGATAAGTAGTAAAACTCAGAATATATCATAAAATGTAGACACTGAACAAAATATTAGGATTAAAATACTCATGTAACCAATGGAATTATACTTTTAAAACACTTTATCATGGCAGGGGTTCACAGAGTAATTGAGATCAACTCTCCCAGTGAGAACAACTGAAAAAGCTAGACAAAACATTAAAAATAAAATCTGCACAAAGGTGTCAGAAAGACACTAAGGAAGTTAAATTATGATTAATTAAGATATACTTGTTTGTCAAAACACATAAGTTGAGTGAAAAATATTTGAAAAGAGTTGAAGGTATTTACAACCACATATATGTGGAAACTGGATTCCTACAAATCAATTATAAGATGATAGTCAAATAAAGCAATGTGCAGCAGGCTTGAATAGAAACTTTAAAAATAGCAATGTTCTTGGACTTTTTTTGTTTGGTAGGCTATTAATTGCTGCCTTAATTTCAGACCTTGTTATTAGTCTATTTGGGGATTCAACTTCTTCCTGGTTTAGTCTTGGGAGGGTGTAAGTGTCCAGGAATTTATCCATTTCTTCTAGATTTACTGGTTTATGTGTATAGAAGTGTTTGTGGTAATCTCCGATGGTAGTTTGTATTTCTGTGGAATCAGTGGTGATATCTCCTTTATCATTTTTTATTGCATCTATTTGAGTCTTCTCTCTTTTCTTCTTTATTAGTTTGGCCATGGGTCTATTTTGTTGATCTTTTCAAAAAACCAGCTCCTGTATTCACTGATTTTTTTGAAGAGTTTTTTTGTGTCTCTATCTTCTTCCGTTCTGCTCTGATCTTAGTTATTTCTTGTCTTCTGCTAGCTTTTGAATTTGTTTGATCTTGCTTTTCTAGTTCTTTTAATTGTGATATTAGGCTGTCAATTTTAGATCTTTCCTCACTTCTCATGTGGGCATTAAGTGCTATAAATTTCTGTCTAGACACTGCTTTAAATGTGTCCCAGAGATTCTGGTATGTTGTGTCTTTGTTCTCATTCGTTTCAAAGAACATCATTATTTCTGCCTTCATTTCATTATTTATCCAGTAGTCATTCAGGAGCAGGTTGTTCAGTTTTTATGTAGTTGTATGGTTTTGAGTGAGTTTCTTAACCCTGAATTCTAATTTGATTGCACTGTGGTCTGAGAGACTGGTTGTTATGATTTCTATTCTTTTGCATTTGCTGAAGAGTGATTTACCTCCAATTATATGGTCACTTTTAGACTAATTGCAATGTGGTGCTGAGAAGAATGTATATTCTGTGGATTTGGGGTGGAGAATTCTGTAGATGTCTATTAGGTTCACTTGGTACAGATCTGAGTTCAAGTCCCGGATATCCTTGTTAATTTTCTGTCTTGTTGATCTGTCTAATATTGACAGTGGAGTGTTTTAGTCTCCCACTATCAATTGTATCCTGTGGGAGTCTAAGTCTCTTTGTAGGTCATTAAGAACTTATTTTATGTATCTGGGTCCTCCTGTATTGGGTGCATATATATTTAGGACAGTTAGCTCTTCTTGTTGCATTGATTATTTTACCATTATGTAATGCTCTTCTTTGCCTCTTTTGATATTTTTGGGTTGAAAGTCTGTTTTATCAGACTAGGATTGAAATCCCCGCTTTCTTTTGCTCTCCATTTGCTTGGTAAATCTTTCTCCATCCCTTTATTTTGAGCCTATGTGTGTCTCTGCACCTGAGATGGGTCTCCTAAATATAGCACACTGATAGGTCTTGACTTTTTATCCAATTCATTAGTCTGTGTCTTTTGATTGGGGTGTTTAGCCCATTACAATTAAGGTTAATGTTGTTATATGTGAATTTGATACTAGAACAACTAGCTAGTATCAAAATTAGGCCATTTTGATACTAGCTAGTTGTTCTGCCCATTAGTTGATGCAGTTTCTTCATTGTGTTGATAGTCTTCATCATTTGGTATGTTTTTGAAGTGGCTGGTACTGGTTTTTCCTTTCAATATTTAGTGGTTACTTTAGGAACTCTCATAAGGCAGGCCTGTTGGTGATGAAATCTCTCAGCAATTGCTTGTCTGTCAAGGATTTCATGTGTCCTTCCCTTATGAAGCTTGGTTTGGCTGGATGTGAAATGCTGGGTTGAAAATTCTTGTCTTTAAGGATGTTGAATATTAGCACCCACTCTTTTCTGGCTTGTAGGGTTTCTGCCAAGAGATCCACTGTGATTCCGATGGGCTTCCCTTTTGGGGTGACCTGACCTTTCTCTCTGGCTGCCCCTTAGCATTTTTTCCTTAATTTCAACCCTAATGAATCTGATGAAAGTCCAGGACCAGATGGGTTCACAGCCATATTCTACCAGACATACAAAGAGAAGCTGGTACTATTCCTTCTGAAACTCTTCCAAACAATACAAAAGGAGGGAATCCTCCCTAACTCATTTTATGAGACCAAAATCATCCTATTACCAAAGTCTGGCAGAAATACAACTAAAAAAGCAAATTTCAGGCCAATATCCATGATGAACGTTATTCTGAATATCTTCAATAAAATACTGGCAAATAGAATCCAACAGCACATCAAAAAGCTTATCCATCACCATCAATTCATCTTCATCCCGGAGATGCAAGGCTGATTCAACATATCCACATCTATAAACATAATCCATCACATAAACAGAACCAAAGACAAAAAAACACAGGATTATCTCAATAGATGCAGAGAAGGCTTTTGACAAAATTCAACCACCCTTTATGCAAAAACTCTCAATAAACTAGGTATTGATAGAATGTATCTCAAAATAGTAAAAGCTATTTATGGCAAACCCACAGCCAATATCATACTAAATGCCCAAAAACTGGAAGCATTCCGTTTGAAAACTGGCACAATACAAGGGTGCCCACTCTCACCACTTCTTTTCAACATAGTATTGGAAGCTCTAGCTAAAGCAATCAGGCAAGAAAAAGAAATAAAGTGTATTCAGTTAGGAAAAGAGGAAGTCAAATTATCTCTATTTGAAGATGACATGATTGTATATTTAGAAGACTCCATCATCTCAGCCCAAGATTTCCTTGAGATGATAAGCAACTTCAGCAAAGTCTCAGGATACAAAACCAATGTACGAAAATCACAAGCATTCCTATACAGCAATAACAGACAGAGAGCCAAATCATGAGTGAACTCCCATTCACAATTGCTACAATGAGAATAAAATACCTGGGAATACAACTAACAAGGGACATGTAGGACCTCTTAAAGGATAACTACAAACCACTGCTCAAGGAAATGTGGGGAGACAAACAGATGAAAAACATTCCATGCTCATGGTTAGGAAGCATCAATATCATTAAAATGGCCATACTGCTCAAAGTAATTTATAGATTCAATGCTACCTCCATCAAGCTACCATTGACCTTCTTCTCAGAACTGGAAAAACCACCTTATACTTCATATGGAACCAAAAAGAGCCTACATAGCCAAGACAGTCCTAAGCAAAAAAAACAAAAAACAAAGCAGGAGGCATCACACTACCTGACTTCAAACTATACTGCAAGGCTACGGTAATTAAAACAGCATAGTACTGGTTCCAAAACAGAGACATAGACCAATGGAACAGAATAGAGACCTCAGAAGTGACACCACACATCTACAACTGTCTGATCTTTGACAAACCTGACAAAAAAAAAAGCAATGGGGAAAGGATTCCATTTCATAAATGGTGTTGGGAAAACTGGCTAGCCATGTGCAGACAGCTGAAACTGGACCCCTTCCTTACACCTTATACAAAAATTATATATCCTTGAAGATGTGTAGGACCTCTTCAAGGATAACTCCATGTGGATTAAAGATTTAAACATAAGACCTAACACCATAAAAACCCCATAAGAAAGCCTAGGCAATACCATTCAGGAAATAGGCATAGGCAAGAACTTCACGACTAAAACATCAAAAGCAATGGCAGCAAAAGCCAAAATAGACAAGTGGGATCTAATCAAACTTAAGAGCTTCTGCATAGCAAAAGAAACTATCATTAGAGTGAATCAGCAACCAATAGAATGGGAAAATTTTTTTGCAATCTACCCATCTGACAAAGGGCTAATATCCAGAATCTACAAAGAACTTAAATTTATAAGAAAACAACCCCATTAAAAAGTGGGAAAAGGATATGAACAGACACTTCTTAAAATAAGACATTTATGCAGCCAACAAACATATGAAAAAATGCTCATCTTTACTGGTCATTAGAGAAGTGCAAATCAAAACCACTTTGAAATACCACCTCATGCCATTTAGAATGGCGATCATTAAAAAATCAGGAGACAGCAGATGCTGGAGAGGATGTGGAGAAATAGGAAAGTTTTTACACTGTTGGTGGGAGTGTAAATTAGTTCAACCATTGTGGAAGATAGTGTGGCAATTCCTGAAGGATCTACAAATAGAAATACCATTTGACCCAGCAATCTCATTACTGGGTATATACCAAAAGGATTATAAATTATTCTATTACGAAGATAAATGCACAAATATGTTCGCTGCGGCACTGTTGACAATACCAAAGACTTGGAATCAACTCAAATGCCCATTAGTGATAGACTGGATAAAGAAAATGTGGCATGTATATATACTATGGAATACTATGCAGACATAAAAAAGGATGAGTTTACGTCCTTTGCAGGGACATGGATGCAGCTGGAAACCATCATTCTCAGCAAACTGATAGAAGAACAGAAAACCAAACAATGCATATCGTCACTCACAAGTGGGTGTTTAACAATGAGGACACATGAACAAAGGGAGGGAACATCACACACTGGGGCTTGTTGGGGGGTGGGAGAGCTAGGGAAGGGATAGCAGAGTGTGGGGGGATTGGGGAGGGATAACATTAGAAATACCTAATGTAGATGATGGTGGAATGGATGCAGCAAACCACCATGGCATGTGTATACCTACGAAACCATCCTGCATGATCTCCATATGGACCCCAGAAATTAAAGTATAATAAAATAAATAGCAATGTTTGCTCAACATGTTTTGTTTCAACGTAATAGAGACTAACATTATACACAGATGCTACTACAATTAATGAAAATGGCTTAACTTCAGAAGTCTGCTAATATCAAGTGTAGGTGAAAATCTGTTCTTTCATAGACAGAGTATGATCTAACACTACTACTTGGAAAAGATGTTCGGTATTTTCTACTAAATTTAATGCCTATTTTATCACTCTTACCACCCAATATTTTCATCTCTCTCTCTCTCTCTCTCTCTCTCTCCCAATCTCTCTCTTCCTCAATCTCTCTTTTTTTTCTCTCTCTCTACACACACACACACACACACACACACACACACAAATACACAAAGCAGAAATGCATGTACATGTCCACCAAAAAATGCACAACAATGTACGTAGAAAAATATATATAGCAACACAAGAAACAACCTAAATATCCATCAATGGTTGAATAATTGCAAACGAATTAATAAATTAAACGTATATTTACAACACAGAATAGACTAAACATTGAAATAACAAACTGCAGTTACTTTAATAACATGAAAAACTCACAAACAATGCTGAGTGAATGCTGGTAGATAAAGAATACATACTACATGATAATACATTACTAAAGTTAATTTGCTAGAGATTTGATTAAATATTTTAGTGCTGTTGGACATTTAAAGTTTTTTGTAATCTTTCACATTATGTTTTTAAATGATGTTATGAAAAAATATATCAAACTAATGTTTTCTTACATTTGTTAATTTCAAGTGGAAATATTGGGATAAAATAATTGCAGTTTTGATAGATAAATTTTGTCAAAATACTCTATTTTTAGAGAAAGCATTTTTTTTCTTTATTACATATAAGGTTTTGCATTACATGTGAAGAACATGCAAGATTGTTGCATAGGTACACACATGGCAGTGTGATTTGCTGCCTTCCTCCCCATCACCTATATCTGACATGTCTCCCATGCTATCTCTCCCCAACTCCCCAGCCCCAGCTGTCCCTCCCCATTTCCCCCCAATAGACCCCAGTGTGTGATGCTTCCCTCCCTGTGTCCATGTGTTCTCATTGTTCAACACCCACCTATGAGTGAGAACATGCAGTGTTTGATTTTCTGTTTTTGTGTCAGTTTGCTGAGAATGATGGTTTCCAGGTTTATCCATGTCCCTACAAAGGACATGAACTCATCTTTTTGATGGCTGCATAGTATTCCATGGTGTATATGTGCCACATTTTCCCAGGCCAGTCTATCATCAATGGGCATTTGGGTTGGCTCCCGGTCTTTGCTATTGTAAACTGTGCTGCAATGAGCATTCGTGTGCATGTATCCTTATAGTAGAATGATTTATAACCCAAGAAAGCATTTTTGAGTTCCTAAAACCTATTACCAGGATTGATAATTTTAAGTTTATTAATATTTGCTACTTTGGAATTTAAAAACTGAATATAACTGTGACTATTATTTGCTTTCATTTGACAATTTATGTGAAAATGTTTATCACATTTTAATGAAAAATTAAACATTTCAAATAGCACTTAAGGGGTTGCAATAAGTTAATCTCCTCTCTACTTCAAAGCCTTCTTTTCCAATGGTCAGTTGAATAATGCTAAAATCATAGTTGTCTCATTTTTTTCAATAGAATTCTTTTATAGAAGCATTTAGGCTAGTGCTTTTCAAATGAACTCTATAACAAAATTTTCAATTTCTTCCAATTCTTCAAATTCTTTTCTGTTTAAAGAATCTTCTGGCTGGGCAGATTGACTCACATCTATAATCCTAACACTTTGGGAGGATGAGGCAGTGAGGCAGAAAGAGCACTTGAGGCCAGGGGTTTGAGACCAGCCTGGGCAACCTAAGACAGTGTCTCAAAAATAAATATGCATATATTATGATATCATATATGACATATATAATATAATATTAAAAATAAATAATACATACATTAATACATTATATCATGCAGATACACACACACACACACACACACACACACACACACACACACATATATATCTGCATGGTTGCATATACCTGTAGTCCCAGCTACTTGGGAAGCTGAGGTGGGAGGACCACTTCACCCTGGGAGGTGGAAGCTGCAATGAGCCATGGTTGCTCCACTGCACTCCAACCTGGGAGACAGAGCAAGACCCTTCATTAAAAAAAAAAATGAAAAGGGGAAAAAAACTCTATTTTTGAGGGTCATATTATCTCCTGTTTTTAAAAGTCACATAAAGTAATTTATATTTTTGTAGAGAATTTATGTTTTAGAAGGATTTGCATAAAGTTGAATAGATTTTTCTCTTAAAATTATTTTGATATCATGTACTATTTCCCCACTTAAATTAGTAATTTTGTAGCCAGTTTTATATTTTTACTCTTTTTTCTTATAAAGTGATAGATATCCCTCTGCTTTACCTTTATTTTTTGGAAAACAAATTTGAATTTTAATTATTTTAATATGTGTAACTTAGTTTTCATCTATTTTGTTTAATAATTTTTTATCTTCTTTATTAAGGCATTTTTGCTTTCTTAATGTTTTCAAACTTCAATTGTTGGAATATAAGTTTGACTACTCTGCTGCATCGTCTCCCCAGGAAAATATGCATTGCTATTGATTTGCTAGTATTTTGAATGATGGTAAAGAATTTGCTCAATGTTAGACTAGGAAAGATATACTTGTGAAAATGAATAATTAATTCACCATATGCTTGCTACATATTTCTCCAGTACTGATTCCACATAAGGTTCACAGGTATAAAAATGGCACAGATCATTTTAAGAATGGGCGGAAAATTGTAAGCCAAAATGAGCTTATTTATTTCCAGCTTATTCTTGAAATGAATCAGTCGTTTCCAGAAATAAAGATTAATTTTTGCTTATTTTTTGTTTGTTGGTTTTTGAACTTGAAGAAAACTCTGCAGGATCTACCCTGTCAGAATTCACTTTAAAAACCTTTTCAACCAAAAATGTGACTTATTAAAATTATTAATTAAATAGTTAAATGTGATTACATCAGAAAAAAATATTGTCTGCTAGATAAGTCCTAATATATTAAATAAGTGAATATATATTAGATTTTTATATTAACACACTCTAGAAAAGAAGTTTTAATATAAGTGAAATATAAAATTATATTTTCATATTTCCATTTGTTGTTATTTACTCAGATATCAACATATAGATTTTTAGAACAAAAAGATTTAAGTTTATATATTTTCACTTTTTCTGTAATACTCTTCAAAATTGATTTCTGGGTCATTCATATTATTTTGGTACTTTACAGAAAGAAATAAAAGCACTAGGTTTAGTTTTTATTAGCCTGACTTTTCAGAAATAAAATGGAGCATTTTAAACAATTAGCTTAAGAGAAAAGATAGGATTTTTACTCAGGTGGAAATTATCTTAAGACTTGAGATTTATTCCATGGTTGTCAGGATTCCAACATTCTTTTCTAGATGAGTTGACTTTTATAAAATACTAATTTGGATTCAGGCCATAAACTTCTGAGGTTATTTGTATTAAATATTTGAAAAGCATATTTCTTATTACATTTCTATTTTTTAAGGATGAGAAAGTATCTTTTGGCAGCATGAGCAAGCTCTCAGAATGAACTTTCTAGAAAGGCTGCCAAATTTATAGTAGAGCTGTATCCAAGTAGAACAGCAAAGACAGCTAGTGGTTTTTACTATCATTATTATTATTATGAGAAAGAGGAAAATAATTTGTTTTTATTTCATTTCTTGTTTCCATAAATTAAGGAATTTGATATTAATAACAATAATTAATATTATTCTTAAAGAAATTAAATATCTCACAAATGAGAAATTTCCAAGTCATGTTTCCAACAAAAGAAAACTGACTTGGCAAAGTTATGTAATGGAAGGTTGAATTTTAATCACTTGCTATGAAATAGTAATATTTGAATGTATATATTTTATAATAGAATTACTGGTGAATCGTATCTCTGGTGTGTAACTCAGGAAACACTAAAGTTATCTGAAAACGTGATTCAATTTATGATTATATTATTAAATTTAATATTTTACTTTACCATCTAACTACATCATTTGTGATTTGCATGCATTGCTTCACAGATTGTATTAGAAAGTATGATACTGTCTGATTCAAAGTATTTTAAACAGAAATATTTGTAAAATGATGTAACATGACATTCTTCTGAGAATTATAGTGTAATAATTAAATATAAATCGCCAATGTATTAGTTATCAATTTATCTAAATATTTTTTTGTTAATTATAAATATGTATTTATAATGCCAGGCATATTAGCATCACTGCACAAAGTACAATGAATGGGTTGTAAAAATACAAAGAAATCACTGCCTTTAAGGTTTCTAAACTCAGATTGAATTGTAAAGAACTAAAAACACAACATCACACACTGGGGCCTGTCGAGGGGTGGGGGAGCTACAGGAGGGATAGCAGGGGGTTGGGGATTGGGGAGGGATAGCATTAGGAGTAATACCTAATGTAGATGACGGCGTGGTGGATGCAGCAAACTACTTCTGTACATGTACCGCAGAACTTATAATAATAATAAAAAGATATATAAACACACAATAAATTGTTAATGTTTGAAAGTGGCACATTCACAAATCAAATATTAAGTGTTATTGATTCAAAAATAAACAGTTCTGTGGACAATAAAGAGAGAAATTGAACTTATAGTTATTGACATCGTGTTCTTTGAGATGATTATTCCCAATTGAAGACGAGGTAAATTGTGTAGCAATAAAAGAAATAATAAAGTATTATGGAAAGCCTGGCTCCATGAAAAATTGAGCAGTGTTTTGAGGTTTACAAAAATTTGAGTGGGTGGCCCCATGTGAATGAAGGTTAAAAAAGTTTACTGTGGGCTCAAGAAATAAATAAATTGGTCTTAATTGAATGTGTGCTTATGGGAAACGCGGGAGATAATGTGTGCAAAATTCTTGGAATGTTAAGTAATTGTGGTTTTTAAAATTACTTCTTTTTTTTGAGACCCTTGTTGCCCAGGCTGGAGTGCAATGGCACAATCTCGGCTCACTGCAACCTCTGCCTCCCGGGTTCAAGCGATTCTCTTGCCTCAGCCTCCTGAGTAGCTGGGATTACAGGTATGCGCCACCACGCCACGCTAATTTTCTATTTTTAGTAGAGATAGTGTTTCTCCATGTTGGTCAGGCTGGTCTCAACCTCCCGAACTCAGGTGATCCACCCACCTCAGACTCCGAAAGTGCTGAGATTACAGGTCTGGCCTGTAATCACTTTTAATTGCGAAAGCAGCAATTACTTTTGCACCAACTGAATATGCCAGGCCTTCTGATTGAAACAGTAGAGCCTAACTGTGGTTTTTGAGATACAGTATCAGGCTACTGATTTCCAGTATCCAGTCCTGTTAATTACGTTTGTCACTGAAATCTCAGTAAAGAATAAGAACTACGATTTATTAAAAACTTACTACATACCAGGCACAAATCCAAGCTATTGCATATACGAATTTACTTAGTTCTTACAAAAACTTTATTAAATTGGCATCATTTTTACTCACTGTATTATAAAGACTGGGCACAGGGAGATTGTGCTATCAGAATCTAGGCCATTAAACATTACACACTGCTCATCTAGTTCTCTATTTCCTTAGACATGAATTGCAAATATGTATTTCTGTGACAATATAAATATCTTTATATTTATAAATATGTATATGTAAATATACACATTTGCATTTATACATATGCAAATAATATTCACAAATGTAAGCAGTCATAAAATGATAATTTCTATCTTTTTTGAGATAGTGTCTCACTCTATCACCCAGGCTGGAGTGCAGTGGCATGATAGTTGTCTACAGTCCTTGAATTTTAGGGGATTTAAAAAAGTTGAGTTGCTAGAGGTTTAGTCTGAGGGGTTATTTGTAGTTAAAGTCATATTAGTTTAGGAATATAGTAAGTGGAGTCCATGCTTTTCAGAGAGGAATGCTCGAAGTATTATGTAAGTACTAGGACAGACATTTAGCTGACGTATAAACGGAAAAGCCTGTTTGGTCAGAGAACATTAGAATTTTTAGAAAACTTTAATTGAGGGGTTATGTTGACATTGTTCACGGTTAACACGATTGTTTAGGGCACTGACTAGATTGAGTTTTAGTCTCTTGCTTTTTGGAGTTTAGTCAGAGCACGTTTTACCTGAGTTAACAGGGTGAGGCGGGTTTTGCAGATTTAGTCGGTAGTAGTCCTTGAAATGGTGTGTGTAAACAAGCGTGCGTGAGCGTGCGTAAACGAGCGTGCGTGAGCGGGCGTAAACGAGCGTGCGTGAGCGGGCGTAGCAGCCTGTGGCTGGTGCTGCCTGGAATCCTCATGCTTCATGCTGTGAAGCTCCTCACTCATACCTAGAGCACTCTGGATGCAAAGACCACATAAGCCAAGAGCAAGAACTGAGGAGTGGTGAACCTGGCTCAAACACTGACCGAGCTCTCCGCCTGCCAGAAGAGTCTTGTCTTGCACTCACAGGTAACAGGGACAAAGCTAATTGATCTATCACACTCAGGCTCATGGGTGGGCACGGGAAGGGGAAGAAAGGGGCTGAGTAAAGGTACTGTTGGAAGCCATTGGGAAACAGATACTAGAGAAGCCAGAAGGTCTGTGACGGTTGCAATTATAAAAATCAGGATATAAAAGATCTTGACTCTAAAAAAAAAAAAAAAAAAATACACGTGCGTAAACATTTATTGATTAATTGGTATGTCCTTCAAGCATGAATGAATTAGCACCTTATGTTTGGTATGTTGATTCGGAATATTCAAGGTAAGTTCAGCTACAGCTGATTCGGCTGGGATCAGGCTCCTGCCATGCTGAGTCACAGCACCCCCAGAGTTAAAAAATACCAAATGCATGACAGTGCTCCGGTGACTGGTTAATAGGGTAGTAGTCGGGAATCCATCGAGATGTCTTATTTAAGGGAAACATGTTGGTGATCTTGATGTTATGGCCCTGAAGTAAGAACCAGATGCCAGGTATAGTTTCAGTATAGTCACCCTCAAGTGTTATGGGCCCAGAACGAGGAGGGTAGAATATCTGGACCAGGATGATGATTTCTCAAAGCTTGGTAGTTGAGAAACTAGGGTTGCTAGATGATATCCGTGTTGACGAGAGCTATCTTGACTTAAATGTGCTGCTTCTTAAATAAATATATGTACTTTATAATATTAAGGATATCTAGTACTGGTCAATATCCATGTGGGTTGAATTCTATTGTACAGTTAATAATTGGAATGTGTAGTAGTTGATTAAGGGATTGGTAATACTTGCTTGATAGACATGTGGAAATAATCTTTCCACACTACAGCCTCACTACAGTCTCAACTTCCCGGGCTCAAAAGATCCTCCCATCTCAGCCTCCTGAGTAGCTGGGACTGCAGGCATGTACCACCATGCCTGGCTAATTTTTTTCTAATTTTTAGTTGCCCACACTGGTCAACCCATCCACCCATCTTGGCTTCCCAAAGTGCTGGGATTGCAGACATGAACCACCAGGCCCAGCCTAAAATAATTATTAATAGTTAATTCCCTAAAACAGATTAGGTTTTTTTCATTATTGAATACTAAGAAAGGGAGTGTAAACACTAGCCTTAAGTCATTGGGGATAGATTGAATAACACTTTTAAAACACACATTTGCAGTTTGTGAAGACTCACGTATCCCTGGTTTACCAAATAAAGGCAAGGAAGTAAAAGAATCCAAAACAGTTAAAGAAAATCATTGTCATTTCCCCAAACTAGAATATTAAGGGTTAACAAGAATGCTAACAGAGAAAATACAGTTAATGTAAAATGTAGATGTAACTCATAAGAAGAATGAGAAGATGTTGGAGGTAAAAGAAGAAAAAATTGTTCTTGACCTAAATCATGATAAAAATAAAGCATTAGTACCTTCAAATCACGTAGTAGCAGAAGTCTTGTATTTTGGATGGAGACTATGGTACACTTTTAAATAGGTTCAGTTTAAAATGGACAAACATTATTTTCTGGGAAATGTGTGGTAGATAATTCAAGTCAAGGAATGATGAGTTATTACAGAGGATGATTAGTATTGGGGTTATGAAAACGGTAGCTATTCATAAAATCTGTAAGATGTAAATAGCAAACCTCTAAATAATTACTTAATGCATGCATGCATATTGTGTGTCAAGCACTATACAAATGATTTTGTATATATTATGCTGCTGAATTCTCGTGATCCTATTAATAGGAATTAATTTATCCCCAGTTTATAGATGAGTAAATACTTTAAGCACAAAGTTTTTAAAAAAACTTGCACAAGATATTGAGTGCCTAATACAGTGACTAGGTCATAACAGACGATAAACTAAAATGTCTACATATATTTATATAGAAATTGTTATTTTCATTAACAATAATAAATACTTTGTAAATGCAGAAAATAGAATAACTGCTAGGAGCTAAAAAAAAAGTCTTCTATATAAAATTGACTATACAAAACTGAGAGAATAAGCATAAACCAGCCAACAATAATTTATGAGTTTGCTGTGAGTTTAAGAAAACAGTAAATGTGACAAGAGAGGGAGTGGGAGAATTTTTTGGCAAACTCTGATTTATTTTTTCTAGTGCCTGGATCTATTAAAAATGTTTTAAACAGAGATTCTTAAATTATGGGATACATATGAATACTTTTCATTTATTACAAAAGAGAGTCTACTACTAGAGTGTTATCAACATAAAAATGCATCATTATAATGAAGATGAACTGGGCCCTGGTTATAGGTGTATTGCAGTTATTATGAAATAATAAGCAGCAGAGTGAAAAATTATTTTAAAAAATAATAATGGAGTGTTGACTTCCATTGGCTTTCACAGAGAAAATGGGTCCAGAATTACTTAGCTGTCATAACAACTATGAAATTGAAAACATACTATTTTCAGGTATTTAATAAAACTCAGCACAGGACTCTGGTATTGGAGAGAAAGGAAATGCACAAGGTGAGCCCTGAACTCTCTCCAGGTGTTTGCTTAGTGACATAATCTTACTACTAGGAGGAGATCTAAGTACACCTCTGAGTGAAGGAAGCAGTAATTGTAGTTCCAGCTTGAACATATGGCCAGAATTTCTGGAGCAGTGTTCTGAAAAAAGGGGAACTACAAAAGGGGTTTTCAGAAGTCTGTGTGGGAATTTACCTTGGTCTTTGGCCAAGGGCTGAGCTACTCATGCAGAAGGAAAGAACACTAGGTATTAATAGAAATAGCCTCTGTGTGGTTGTGAGTTGAACAGAGATACTACAGGATATGCAATTCTGGGAAACATTAGAATTCTGAAGTAGCCAAATAGTAGCAACCTCCCTGAGCACCACAGATAAAAAATTGAGACCCAAGAAAACTTCGCCTTAGAAGTAAAAATCATGCCAATGTCCTATAGTAAATGCCACATGTAAAATCCAAGGGTAACATAGAAATTAATGTGTCCAAACAAAGAATAAACACCAACTCAATGAATGAAAAGTATCTGTCAGTATTTGTAACAGTTTTTTAGAATAAATGTTTGTTAGAATATTTTATTTGTTATTCTAACAAAGAAGTTGTATCATCTTCAGTTTCTAAAACATATATTCCAAAGATAAAAGATTTCTAAACATGCAGTGTAGCAGGGTAATAGGACTACAAAGAAGAAGTAGGTGAAAGGCAATAGAAACAGACATGCAGAAGTCCTAACTTCTAGCGTTATCAGACAATAACTTTTAAACAGCCATTATAAAGATATTCAATGATTTAAAGCTAAAGATGACAAAAGTGAGAGAATATTTGAGAAATCTCCATAGAGAAATGAAGACAACAACAACAACAACAAAAACGCAAGCAAACTCTAGAATTTAAAACTATGTAAAAACTAAGGCAAATAAAAATAATATATATATTTTAAGAGATAAGGTCTTGCTTTGTCACCTAGCCTGGAGTGCAGTGGACTGATCGTAGCTCACAGCAGCCTTCAACACCTAGGCTTAAGAGATACTCCTGCTTGAGCCAAGTATATATTGTAGATAAATAATGAATGCAACCATTCTGAGCAAACATATATTACTAAACATTTTCAGATAATTTTTGGGCTGAAAGGAAATAACCTGAATTGGAAACTAGCATCATGTGGTTTTGTTAAAAATAATATTTTTATAATAGATTTTATTACATAGAAACATGAAAAATATGTCAATGGCCAAAAAAGAAGTGAGTTCAATTGCGGTTTATTGTTGCAAATTTCTTGCATTTTACAGAAATTGGCACCTTCTCATTGTATTAGTTTGGGATAAGTTAATATTTACAAATAAACACTAGCTAGGCATGGTGGCTCACACCTGTAATCCCAACACACTCTAGGGGGCCAAAGGGGGAAGATTGTTTGAGCCCAGGAGTTCAAGACTAGCCTGGGAAACATAATGAGACCTTGTCTCTACAAAAAATTAAAATTAAAAAATTAGTAAGGCATTGTACACACCTGCAGTCCCAGCTTCTCGGGAAGCTCAAGTGAGAGCATTGCTTGCATGTAGGATGTCAAGGCTGAAGTGAGCTCTGGTTGTACCACTGCATTCTACCCTGAGTGACAGAGCAAGGCACTGTCACAAAAGAAAATAATAATAAGTACTAAAAGGGTACCAAAAGTATAGCCAAAAAGCAATTGAGGAAGTAAAATGAAGTACTAGAAAATATTTAATCCAAAATAAAGCAGTGAAAGAGAAACAGAGGGAGAAGAAACCAATGTGAAAATTTGTATAGATTATAGAATCAAACACAATCACATTATTAATTATATTATATTTAAATAGGATAAATGCATCAATTAAAAAGGCAGAGATTTTAAAACAGGATGATAAAAAAGGAATACACAACTGTATGCTGATTACAGGAAATATAGTTTAATAGTAACCACACAGACATTGAAAGCAATAAGATAGAAAAAGCTATAGCACGAAAGCATTAAGCACAAGGAAGTCATTGTAGCTATATAATTTTTGACAAATAGGCTTTGAGACTGGGACTATTACCAGAGAAAAATGGGGACATTTGATAATGATGAAAGGGTCAATTCATCAGTAAGATATAACAATATTTTTGTACTTAATGACAGAGTGTCAAAATACGGAAAGTGAAAACTGGCAGAAATAAAAGGAGACAGAGACAAATCAGCATACGTAGCTGAGTATTTTAACAATCCTTACCTTATAAATGACAGAGCAACCAGACAAAATTTATTAAAAGTATA